AGGTTCAATGATACTTTGTATACAGGTAGGCTGTGTCTACTCTGGCACAATCTCGTGCAAAAGCGGACGCTCTTGTGTAAAAACTGGCTGCCTGTCTACACTGGCTGCATGTTCTTGCACAAGTAAACTGATGTTCTAATGTATAAAATCAGGGCTTCTTGTGCAAGAACTCTGACGCTCTCGCTCAGGAATAAGCCCTCTTGCGCAAGAGCTCTTCCAGAAGAGGCCAGTGTAAACAGGCAACATGAATTTCTTGCGCAAGAAAGCTCTATGGTTAAAATGGCCATACACTGGCATGGATGCTCTTGCGCAAAAACACATGCCAGTGTAGATGCACTCTTATGGAAGAGTTTTTGCAGAAGAACTCTTCCTCAAAAGAGTTTGTGTGTGAGAATGCGCCAGTGTAGACGTAGCCTTATACTTAATTTTGTACAGCTAATTGCTGAACCCCTTTCCACAAATTCAGATGAGAAAAAAATTCAAGAATATCTCTGGAGATCGTAGTTGCCATTCTCTGCACATACTAATGAAACAAGTCTACCAGGAGACAATTCTCACGTTAAGAAAAATAGAATAGTATTTTCTTTACTCATGTATGCAAAGGAATAAGAAAAATAGTATATTGTTTAAAGCTAGATACTATTATGACTTTCATCAAAGTTTTTTATCCAGTTAACCAATTAAAAAAAAACCCAAATGCTCTCTCTACCCAGCTACTATTAGTCAAGAATACTTTAACTCCTTGGAAGCTTCCTGTGTTTAAAGATGTCTGAAGATGCATATAGCACCTACGTAAACAGTAATGTTACAGCAGAAGTGCAGTACTTAGAAATTGCTTAACCCTTTAGGTTTTTGCCAAATTATTTCTGAATTTTGTATTCGTTTTTGTACTGTGTTAAGGTCCACAAAAAGCACGTTTCCTTTTTGAACCACCAGCTACAATTACATATAGGCAGTCCCCGGGTTACGTACAAGATAGGGACTGTAGGTTTGTTCTTAAGTTGAATCTGTATGTAAGTCGGAACTGGCGTCCAGATTCAGCCGCTGCTGAAACTGATCAGTTTCAATGAATTTTGTATTCGTTTTTGTACTGTGTTAAGGTCCACAAAAAGCACGTTTCCTTTTTGAACCACCAGCTACAATTACATATAGGCAGTCCCCGGGTTACGTACAAGATAGGGACTGTAGGTTTGTTCTTAAGTTGAATCTGTATGTAAGTCGGAACTGGCGTCCAGATTCAGCCGCTGCTGAAACTGATCAGTTTCAACAACGGCTGAAT